AGCCCAGCTCTGAGCCCCCACTTTGACCAACGTCTAATTCCCAGTCCTAATCTTTCATGTGGTTATAGGTTTCTTTTGTTAGTGATTTCCACTACTCATTTTTTTTTTATGACTTTCATGTTGGGTTGTCTTGCTTTATTTATTTATTTTCGCAAATATGTTTAAATATGTTGCAAATCATGATACGCTCGCAGTATTAATAATGCAACGGTAGCAGATGCCCAGGTACGCTTTTACAGTATATCTATAGCATTTTAATTTACTGCAGTTTACCTTTCAAGTATCTTTTATTTACCTGCAATTTGATTATTCTGTATGCAAAACCAAACACTGACATCAAAACTGTGAAACATAAGCTACAAACACTTAAACCCTGGAGCCATCGCGACGATAAGAGCTTGAAACCAACTTTGTGGGCAGCAGGACGAGGAGCTTAGAGCGAGCAGCAAGGTCTGCTTGAACATTATCTCTTCCTAGTATAATAATAACACATAGGGCTTCGAGGTAGCTCGCCTAGCGTTGCGTAAATCCTCACTCCCTTTTTAGGCCCCTGTACAACCATGTTGTGCAGCGTAAGTCCTAACTCGACTTAGGTTCCGAGGTTGTTGTGTGGTACGACGTAAACCCTCCTTTCTCTGTGGGCTATTTGCATAATCGGGTATTATGCAAATGTAAGTCCCAAATAATAAAACTGGCAAGATCAAACACTTAATTAATTTCATCTCCAAAATGTAGCCACACAGTAGGGTAGTTTGGGAAGTCACTGGGGATTCTCCTCAGGATCTGTGACATCCCCTACCTTTTCTTTCCTTTGGACTCCTGAAATAAATGTTCATGTTTGAGCCACTCCCATTTGCCCTTCTACGTCCTACCTTGAAAACCTGAACCTTGAATTCTTGAAGACTAGAACCATTGATCATTATCGAGAGTTTTCTCAAGTGACGTGGCTCGTGTGTTTGTTGAGAGGGATATCACTCAACCAGCTCCCGATGAGATATAGATTGGAACCACTCACAACGGGTATTGACAAAATGTTGAAATAGAACCACACCCGCCTTATTGCTCTCATTGCAGTATGTTTGACCACAACTCTACTATTTGCTATCGTTTGCATCCTCATCTAAGACTGGATATCGCTAAAGATCAGCCATCTATCATCCCTGTTGAGAAGATGCAACCCGATTCTCTTTCCAACACCGCAATTCCTGACGAAGAATACCATACTATAACTACATATCCAGTGGTGCTTATACCACCCACTGTTATTGAATAAGACTCACTTAAAAGCCAAGACACCCGAGAGTGCTCCTTTGATTCAGTAACAGATCAGTCGGTTCAACATGTAGTTGCTTCTAATGTTCAACAACTTGCACATCTTCAACACACTTTAGACCAAGATCAGGTGAGCTAATCTTCGAATGAAAAATGACAGGTCTATTCCAGGAGAAAGAAGAAGAATGGAGACTGACTCCAGCTCGAGAACATATTGGATGATACATTGGTTACTACTGACAATGACAATCATCTTACCAACTTACTAGCTTGCTCATTTCCTAGAACTAGATGCAGAGACAAGATCAAATTGGATCGCTCTCTAGCCACCTGATATTTTGTATTTCAGCATTTTTAGACTTTTTTTTTTAAGTCTCTAATGTACTTTTTTGTATTTTCTAGTTTTGGAACCACTTGTGGTTTTTGTGTGAGCAAGGTGTCATGCTTGGGTCCTTTCACACATTATATCTGTATTTTTCTTTCTAGTTAATATATTACTTTTAAATATATATATATATTTATTTTATTTATTTTATTTGTTTTTAATTTTAAAAGGAAAACGGTATTTAGCAGACCCAAATACCGGTTTATCATGCACTAGGCCTCATGATGACTGACCGCACTATTTGCTAACAATTCGAGAACCCCGCGCCACGAGGGATCGAATCCCTGACCTGCGGGGACTTATAACGACCCTGCCACAAACAGGCCGGACAGACGGACAGACGGACGGACGGGATGGATGGATCGATGGATGGGATGGATAGAGGGATGGATGGATGGCAAGTTTACACTTCTCGACGAAAAAAGAAGGCTGAGGGCACACTCCAACTTGAAAATCTAATGGATGATACTTTGGTTACTCCTGGTAATGACACGACACTTACGAATTTGTTAGTTGGCTCCCTTTCGAGAACTTCCCGCTCCTAAAACCAGAGGAAGAGGCAGGACTAAACTGGCTCGTCCCTAGCTACTTGTTTTCTGCAAATTTTAATTTTTTGAGTCTATCTGTATTTTTGAGTCTGTCTGTATCTTTTAGTTGGGGTGTCACTGTACTTGGTATCGTATGGGTAGGGTGCCTCTATTGGGCCCTCTCATATAACTTTTATGTATCTTTTCTATTTCAATAAAATCATCCTTTGGGCTTTTCAAAAATATATATACTGATAATTTAAATTTATTTATTAATGATATAAATTTACAAGTGATTTAATATTCAAAGTCCACAATTTATTTTCTTATTTGGAGAATGTTAAGCGGAAAGTTTGCAAGCATATTTCCTTCGAAACCCTTCTCAGGGATAGTGAAATATCAAACCACCGTGGTGATCAAATGGCCGGTCCATGTTTTCCTTAATAGAAGATTTTAGTTTAGTGGATTGTTACTGTTATGGATTACAAATGAAGGAATGATCATCATTTAGTTTGGCTGGGTTGTCAAGCATATTTTTAATAGTCATGTTGACAAAGACTGACAATTTTTTGCTAATTTTATTTTAGTGAATTGCCAATCACTAATTTTATAGTAGTATAGATAACAAAATGATTGGACGGTCTTAATTTATCTTTGGAGGACTATGCTTTATAATCGTAGTATGATGGTAGACACACATGGGAAAGACAACATTGAAGGAACTCAAATGCTAGATTTGGCTCTAGCCAAGTTTTTTTCTTTTTCTTTTTCTTTTTCTTTTTTGGGTTAAATTCACACGAATGCCACACACTTGTGTAAACTGTTACTATACTGCTTTCTGATATCTCCCTACCTGGTAATTTTATTGTAGCTGGAGTGTTGCAGCTATTTGTATATAAAAATTTTGCCTCAGCTAGCTTAGATTTTTCCTCGAGCTTAAAGAATGTATGATTTCTTTCTTGCAGATAAAACAATTTAATGAGCCCATTGAGGTTAAGATTTTTGAGTGGAACACTGGGGGCCTTTTAACCAGGATTGAGGTGAGAATTTTTGTTGTGTTCTTTCCATTTATTGTCTAACGTTTAGATCCTTTGCATCGGAGAAACATCAGCATGTCAATGTGGGCATATTGTTTTCAGGGTTTACGTGCATTCCTCCCCAAAGCTGAGCTGTTGAATAGAGTTAGCAGCTTTATGGATTTGAAGAAAAATGTAAGCTACCTGCAGATTTGGCTATAATTTTTCTCCTTTTTTAGTTTAGTTGCTTTGGTACGATTTTCCCAATGTGCTATTCTATTATTCAGAATTGTCTGATTTACATTTCTGTTGTCTATGACTAAAGATAAAATTATGAGCCAAATCTGTTATTTAGGTTTGCTTCTTAGTGCAGGTTGGTCGACGGATGTTTGTGTCTATTAGTCGGATTGATGAGACAACTAATGTCCTGATTATCAGTGAGAGAGAAGCTTGGGTTAGTTCATCTATGTTTCACTGACCCCACTTGTTGTTTATGTTGAATTTAATAATTCTCAGCTTGTTAACAGGTTGCTTTTTTGTTGATTTTCTTTATGCTTACTATCATATGTGATAAGCATGCCTATGTTTTACTCAATTGAATTCATGCAGTTGACTTTTAGACTGAATATACTGTACAATTCAATTGGCAGTTTATCTGGAAATGCCTTTTATGGTTCTCAAATTTCATGTTAATGAATCATTTTACTAAAAAGCAATTCCTATGGCAGTCCTTATGTGAATGTGAATAAATTCCTTGCAACAGTTTCTTAGACTGGCATCACTTTGTACATTTTCATTGGCACTTGCATGTTACTTGTCAAACCCTATCTACTGGGCCCAAGTAGAAATCACAGTAATCTAGCAGGAAGGTGCGAGCTGAAGATTAAGAAATATTTTCAAGAAAAAAAAAATATGATATCAATAATTTTAGTCCACCAATAAGGTCATCTTAGCATCTAAATCTGATAATAGTCAATTAGTTTACCAATTTATAATTAAAATTCAACTTCATTAAGACCTTGTCTAGGAAAGAAATAATTAATGAACCAACTAGTCATAACATTACTCACTTTTGAATGGCATGTCTGAAGTAGAGCTTAGAAGCGCTCCATTAGATGACGCACCTCTAACAACCTAAAAATTATAAAATGAGAAACATGGGTTTATAAGTAATGAACTCAATAGGTGTAATCCCATAGAGTAAAGCATAAACAATAAGATATGAGCCATAAATATGAGTAAATAAAATAATGAAAGTAAAAAAAAAGGAATTTTATTATGTGATAGTTATGGACAAGATACAAAAGATAAGGTTTTAAATAGAGCAAAATGCCAAAATACTATGTTTACTATTTACATGAGGCTATTTTAGCTCCGAAATCTATGAAAGTGTCAAACTTGTCCCTTAATCCCTTAATCTTTTAATATGAGTTGAAGTAGTCTCTAGAGAGGATTATTTGAGCCTCATTAAGAGTCTGAAAACTAAATTGACACTTTTGTAGACTTTGAAACTAAAATGACGTCCTGCAAAAAACCATTTTGACATTTTTTTAAATATATGAATAATTTAATAGTTTTTAATAGATTTAATAAGAAATTATTTTCTTAAACTCATGATCATTATGTGTTCACACACACACAAACATATATATCTAGATAGATACATACACACACATATACGTACACCCACAGACACACACACAAACACACACACACAAACACACACACACAAACAGACATACACACGTACATATGCACACACACATACACATATACACACATACAAACACACAGACATACACACGTACAAACACACTTACAGACGCACAGATACACACACGTTCACACACACACAAACACACAAACATTATGACACAAGCATACACTATTATTTGATCATACATATTTATATGAATATAGTACAAGCATAATTTACATTATGTTATATATAATATTTGATCATACATATTTTTTCTCAGTTTAACACATAGTACTTCATAAACTCTATATTCAAAAGAATCTAAATCAATCATGCATGACATATCAATGTATTAAACAATTGCTACAATCAATTAAATATATTTTTTTTAATAAATGATTCTACAATTTATCAATTTATCCTGATTTTTACTAGGCATATTACACGATTATTATAAATATTTAATCTCTTTATCATGAAATAACACTAAAATGCATTATCATGGAATAACAGTAGGCATTTAACACAATTTTTTTTTATAATTATTCAATATTTTTATCATGGAGTAACACTACAATTATAAGCTCCTCAATGCATCTGCTGTGGGCTTAGAGCTTTTTGTAAAAACTCTTGGAAGTGATAGGGAAGAGTATCTAATAAATTTCTCGAGTTAGTTGGGCAATCCAAGTTATTTTGGTGGGTAAATTGGATGTAATATCAAAACCTGGTCAGGTTGAACCAAGTTGGGTTCATTTTGGATTTTTGTTTTGTTCTCCAAAATTTTCCAAAAAAATGGCTATATAATAAATGAATTAGGTTAAGGACTACATCTAGATGACATAATGGTGTTTTTCATATTTTTGTATGAAGTTCATGATAATGGAAAGTGGGTTAGAGTCAACTAAATAGGGTAGAAAACCTAGTTTGGTTGAGTTACCTAGGAGAGATTTAGGGTTTCATTGATGGAACAAAGAGTTGAAACTCTCGGGTGTGATGGAGGAATGTGTTTACAACATATCAAGATGGTAGGACAAGCTCCTACTGTTTGATTTCTTTGATTGGAGGTATAAGGGTAAGTGATTGGATTTTTAAATGGGTAAATATGAGAATTGTGGTAGAATCATAGTAATATGGATGGATAATCCTACAAAAATGAAATAATAGAAAATTGATCCTAAGGATTGCATCAACTCAAGAAAATTGCACCAAGTTTTCCTTGTGGCATTGGCCGCCAAGCTTTCTCCTTCTAGTTTCACACTCAACATTCACTATGAAATTTCAGTAACCCAATAAAAATCATTTTCATTCCAAAAAATATTAAATTAATAGGTTTCTTACACTTTATAACCAAACTAGGGAAAAAAGAGAGGGAAAGATAGAGTAGGGCGTGGGTCATGCGTTAATTACCCTAACTATTTCATAACCACTAATACACCCGATTTGGTTGTCCATCCTTGGTTTGGCTAGCCATACATATTAGCTAAGCTACTCAAAACATGACATTAAGAAATCATAAAAGTAATATAAATTGTCTCTGAAAACATATAATCATGTGCGCAATGTATAAAATTCAGATGCTATATGTAATATTGGTTATATTCATGAAATCAAAGCCCGTAATTTTTATTTTGCTTCTATTTATAGGATTTTGATCAATTTTCATTTTCTTGACTTGTGATCTAGTAATTTTCATTGAAATCTTGCTTATCATGTGTCACATCAAATTCCCTGGACCTCAAAGAACTCTCCCCTAAAGTGTTTGAACTGATGTACTCTCCTCCAATTTCCACCTTACAAGAAAACCTAAAATTTTCATATTGATCTGATGCCATTTCCTTTGTAATAATATGATCAACTTCGAAGAAAAAAAAGAATCATCCTGTCAATATGAAGGTATCGTAACTTTCTTAAGTGAAATTAAATCTCATATATTAAAAACTAGGCTAATAAATATATCTTTTGGCAAACATACGTGGTTGCGCTAAAATTTTTAATTAATACCCTACACATCCGTTAACTTGCAATTTTCTAAATTTAGCGGATGAATGTCTCTTTGGGCGATTCTAACCAACACATAATCTTTCACGTTGAAATCTTTGGAAGTTATCTTTATTTTTTTATGAGCATATTTTGTATTAATCATCTTTAATTGTAGTTGTACATTTTCATGATGACTTTGGAAATCATGAACTAAAGTAAATGTTGAATTTGAGATTGCGTATTATGATGTGCTTATAAAATCATATAGTTTTTAGGGTTATATCCATAAATTATTTTGAATGGTATCTTTTTTTAGTACACTTAAAATATTAATTTTACAGTGAAACTTGGCTTTAGGTAGTGAAATAAAAAATATGCTCCATTATGCACTTCAAACACGAAGCAGTGCAAATCGATGGTAGACCATGCCACAAGAAAATGGCACGATGGCTACTCATGAAGAGTGCTCTTCGTTTAAGAAGTGCACTGACATTTTTGCCTTAGGTGTGCTTTAGCGCCTTGAGGGAGTTGCAATGCGGTTTGAATAATATTAACAAGTTGGATTTAAACCAATGATATAAATTGAGCTTGCAAGGATGCCTCATGATTTCTATTCACCCACTTCAATTAACACAAAAGAGTGGAGCCTTAGTGATTTTCTCTTCCTCTTGAATAACAATTAAGCTTGCAAGTATGCTCACGAGAAATCTCTTTTGAGCTCCACAGCAGCAAAGCCTTAGCAATTTTATCACTGAGCTTGTATGTATGTATCTCTAGCCATAAGCCCGTAGAGGTAGAGATTATTCTTATGTGTTGATACCAAACTTGCGAAGACACAACTCTTTGATCTCATCGAACTTGCAAAGGCATTAATCCATTACAGAGCCGCATTACAAAGCTATAGAGATGTAGTTCCATTGTGACGAGACTCGTGAGTATATAATTTTTGGTACCACAGAGTCAACTTTATTTGAAATTCAATTTTTTGGTTTTTTAATTTTAGTGTGTGATAATTGCCAAATTTAACATATATTTTTTTGGATATTGTTCAAATTTTTTGAATGATTTGAAAATAAATTTGTTTTAAAATAAATTAATCAATTTAAAAAATTCACTTTGATCAAAATATTCTTACAAATTATCATCTTTTTTAAATAGACCTCATGTTATGAAAGTATCATTAAATTAAATTTTTTTTTTTTTAGTTTGCTTTAATTATAGGTAATGACAATGCTTGCATTGAAGGAATCGAATAAAAATAAAAATATCCAACATTATATGATTTAGAATTATTCATTTAAATTTAATATAAATAATTTTAAATAATGGTAAATTGTGTTTGTTATTTATTCATATTTATATTCCATATTTAAATCATTAGATCATATTTTTAATTAATAATTTATTTATACATGCAAAAAATTAGACATGGTCGATTCAAACATGAGGAAATATACAACTTGAAAATATACGAAGCTAAAATATGCGTAGCACTTTTTGTTATATATTTATATATATATTTGTGATAACTAGACAAATGAAGATATATCTCAAGTTCTGGATTTGAAAATATTAATATATTTAAAATGAAAAGTTCAATGCATAATTTTTTATTCAAAGAATGTGACAAAGAAGTTGCTAGAAGGAAATATAAGAGACAAATGTTAATAAAGGAAAATGTGGATGAGAGTATTCGAGAAAATTTTATGCAATACATTCTAAGGTGATTCTATCAAGCAAAAATCTCTTTCAATAGAGTGAAATTAGATAGTTTT